AAAAAAAAAAAAAAAAAAAAAAAAAAAAAAAAAAAAAAAACTTGCTTACCAGTTCTCAAACGTCTCGTGCTCTCGTTGAAAATTCAAGCAAAAAAGGTTTCCTCTTCTACGCTTGTGGGAGATAAGGTATATAGGCACAGCTACAAGATACGCGCGCACGAAGGTGGAATGCGTTGCGTGTTATTGTATATTAGATACTATTTTTTTGTTTTGATCGTCTAGATTTTTTTTTGAGCCATTCAATTACGTAACGGTTTAGGTTATTGAATCCAGTGAGGAAAGCCATACTATGAACTACATTTCGTGAGTACAAGCTTGAGCAGCGAGCCAACACCTGCGCACCAGTTGCTCACACTTTCAGACGTCAAAAAAATACCTGCCGATTGGTTTCACGTATATGAATAGCGCACAACGAACGCCAAGTGGGACAAAGCCCTAACGGGTGTGATTACGCGGAAATACCCAATTTGTATTTTGTACGGATCGTGCCTCTAAGTGTAATTATCGTTTGATCATAGGTGACTGGGCGGAAACCAGACCAGAGGAGGGATAAATAGACCCGAGGCACCACCGTCATTATCAAATCGCACATCCAAGCCGCGCGTCCTTTTAGTTTGTTTCTTTGCTTCGCTTCGCGTGCATCGAGTACTTTGCACGTCGCTCAGATAATTTTTCGCACGGACAAGTGACAAGAAGAAAATTTATCTTAAGATGGCAGTAGGTCTACCTAAAACTCTTTGTCTCTTCGTTCAAACATTTTACTTTTTTCATCGTGTATACATATACGGCAGAGATTCGCTTTACGTATATCTGTGCTTTTCAGCTCTTTATAGTACGATGTCGCGAAGCCGAGAAAAAGAGAAAGGATCAAACGTGTTAAAGTACACGTCCAAAGCGTATAGTAGAAATTGATCTCTTTTTTTTTTTTTTTTTTTTTTTTTATATATATATAGTGCATGACCGTACAGTGTTGATAAACGTTTCAAGAAAAATCGTATCGATGCCTCGTAAACTATTTCGCCAAACCTGTCGAACCGAACAACTTTTTTTTTTCAACCAATTGCCAATGTAGGAGGCTGTGGAGAGTAAAACGTTTCTGTCGCAAATTTTACGCGCTCGTATGACAGCCGAGTTATTTCACTCTACAGCTCTTCTACATTGGCTTTTCCCGTGCAAAAGAGGCCATTTTAAAATGGTTAACCACTTAGTGCACTATATATAATTCGTATAGTTCTTGAAATTCTTGTCGACGCAGGCGCGATGTATTCTATGAAAAAAATACGCTTCGAGCGTGTACTTTAACGGCGCTTGGATTCACATAGAGTTCAAAGCGAGTTTCCTCTTTTTGATCGTCGTTCGAATTGCAACGAGAAGCACCGACGCGTTTTTGATGCATGTAAGATTTTTTTTTCTTTCTTTTTCGATCGCAGCAAACAAAGTTTACGATAGAAGACAACGTTATCAAGGGCGAGGAAAAAAGCATTCCGGTCTCGAGCCTGTGCATCGGAGATATCATTTTGAAAGTGTTCAACGACAAGCCAAATCATGTTTCGCAGGTAAACCTTTTTTGTTTCTTCAACCGTAATCCTTGGTGGAAATTTTTTCAAGTTTCATCGCGTGAGAAACGATTTTTGGTGTACCCATCGCAAGTTATTATAGATGTGCAACGATATGCAGCGCTCGGTTGGAAATTGCTGCGTCATTGACGAAACGTTTTTGTACTTGTCGCTACTTTAACCACGTACAAGAGTTAAAAAATGTCAAAAGACTTTTTCTTCTTTTTTTTTTTAACCTTGCGCGAGGCAAGAGCAATTTTGCAAAAGTCAACTTGATAAAAAACGACAAAATGACAGATCGAGGTGGAAACGGGGAAGCAAACGACTTACGGGGAGATGAAGGAAACGAGTGTCAGGTGCGCCATGTGGCTGCAAAAGCTGGGCATCAAAAACGACGACGTCGTGGCGGTTTGCACGCCAAATCAGCCCATGGATTACGTTCCGGTGATCGCAACTCTACTCGTCGGAGCTATTTACAATCCGTGGCACCACGAGTTCACTCTAAGTAAGCAAACTTTGCAATTTCCCCCGCCCCCCCTCGATTTGCTTTCCAACTCCCTGTCGTATACCTTGACCCTGTTAACATGCTCGGGATATTGTAAAAACAAAACCAGTTTTTTGTGCGAAAATGAACACTTTGTATAGCAAACAATATAATATTATGTTATAGAAACAGCTCGACACCTCATGAACTTGATTCAGCCGAAGGTAATTTTTTCGTGCGCCTCGGCCGTAAACGTGTTGAGGGACGCCGCCCGGCTCGAGGGCGTCAAGGTCGAGCGAATCGTGGTGTTCGAGGCTCAGCAGTGCCCGGGAGACGGTAAGCCCCAAATCCTGCGGCTGAGCGACGTTCTCGGAGGCAACGACCGGCCAACCGAGTCCTTCCGGATAAACGAGTCCAAGTCCGAGGACGAGGTCGCCATGGTAATGTTCTCCTCCGGCACCACGGGCCTACCCAAGGGCGTCTCCTACTCCATCAAGGCGGTCAAGAATCTCCTGAATGGCCTGGCCGTCATGCCATCCTCCTTCACAAACCTGCTCTGGTACTCGCCCCTCTACTGGATCAGCGGGACTTTTAGTCTTTTTCAAACGACGATGTGCTCCAAGAGGCGGATACTGCACAGCACCTTCGAGCCCGAGGATACGTGCCGCGTCATCGACGAGTACAAGGTTTGAAGGTGCATTTAAATGTGTGGATCTGGGACATTAGGTCGTGCCGTTTCGTCATTTTGTAGGTCGAGTGGCTGTTCCTCGCTCCGTCGATGCTCGCTCACCTGTGCAAATCTCGGGTCTTGGAGAGCCACGAGCTCGATTCGCTCAAGTTTTTCCTCACCGGTGGTTCGAAGGTGGGCAAGGGGTTCATCGAGCAGATCAACCGCTACCTGCCCAATGTCGTTTTCACCCAAGCTTACGGTACGCCCGCACCACACTCGTCTTTTGTTTATTTATTTTCATTTTTCAATCTTCTGAAAAGCAATTGAGGACCGTGTACTTTCTAATGTAACCTTATACGTTTACGTATGAAAAGCTTCGTTTGTCAAATGTATTTGTATTTCTTGTTCCTCGTGTCGTTTAAAATTTTGTTTTAATCACAGGGATGACTGAATCTGGCGGAGTTTTGGCGGTAACAACGAATCACTGTACGAGAATCGACTCGGTGGGCTTCATCAATGCAAACACACGAATGAAAATCGTCGACTTGGAAAGTGGCAGGGCTCTCGGGCCGAAGGAATCCGGGGAGATTTGCTTCAAAGCGACCAATGCTATGGTCGGCTATTACCGCAATCCAAAGGCGACTCGGGAAATGATGGACGACGAAGGTGAGGATCGAAAGTTTTTCTTGTCGAAGGATTTAGTTGGCGTGTAATATGTATCAGGATGGTACCACACGGGTGACATTGGCTACTACATGGATAACGGCGAGATAGTGATAGTCGACAGATTGAAGGAAGTGATGAAGTACCGGGGACATCAGATAGCGCCCTCGGAAATCGAGGAGTACTTGATGTCTCACAATGCTGTCCTGGAGGCTGCCGTCGTACCGATTCCTCATGATTTCGACATAGAGATTCCCATGGCATTTGTACAAAGAGTTCCTGGCTTTAAGGTAAATCTTCACAAACGTGCTCGTTTTGATTGTACGCTAATGTTACGGAAACAATTTTAGGTGTCTGAAGAGGAGCTCGTGGATTTCAGCGCTCAATTGGACGATAAAAAGAAATTGAGGGGGGGTGTCAAGTTTTTGAACGAACTGCCGCACACAGCGTCTGGAAAAATAAATAGGAAGTTGCTGAGGGATTTGGCAGTAGCTTCGTCTGCATAGCAACTGACGTTCCTCAAAACTTGTGATTATTGGTCTTTTTGTGTTTTTCCCCCCAAAAATCGCGCTCCTTGTATCTATAAAATTTTTAACAAATTTTATACATGATTTAACTTTCCACTAGTCAACTATTGTAAAAACTAAATAATTAGAGTTCTATTAAATTTCTTAGAGAAGCTATGTACACAAATCACTGATTATACGTTAACTACATGTTAAAGCTAAAAAATAGATTTTGTTTAAAATTACCGAGTGGTTTGTTTGAAATAGCGATGTTTTTATTACTTTTTACAAAAAAAAAAAAAAGCAAGAGCGACAGGTGCTTATTGATGAGGTTTCGGGTAGCCGAAACGACTCGCCTCTTTGAACATAGCCACAAGAGAGTCCAAAACTTCCTGTCCATTGGGAACGATTTGGTCAGCCGGGAGTATGAAGCCGTGTTTGCCGGTGTCCCTTAGCTACAGCGTAACATAAAATTACCGGATCGGAAGAAAAAAAATGGGGCTTTTCCTTCCCATGACAGACATATAGATCCTTACCTCGTAGGTGAACGCCACCGGTACTTTCAGAGTAGCTTTGACCCAATCCATGGAACTTCCGGTAGCCACGTCTGGAAAAGCAAAGCATATCGACACCGGAGTATGACAACGTGAGCTTGTGAAAAAAAAAAAAAAAAAAAAAAAAAAAATTTACATATCGTTTCAGCAATATTTCCGGTCTTGTACTTTGTCCCATTCCTCCGAGCAAGAGCCTCGATAGCTTTGGTACCCATGGCGTACTGTAAAAAAGTGAGCGTCATTGGCATGGATTATCACACGCACGCACAAATGCTAGACGACTCACGGATTCGTCGTAATTGTCGAGGTGCCGACGAGTGTGGCCGTAGGAGAAGAGGAGAAGCTGGGAGTAGCTGTGGAAGGCGATGTAGGCGAACAGCTTGTCGCCGATGGAACTGATGTACCGGGACATGCTCCTCGTCTCGACCTCCGAAAACGGACCTCGACCGGCGTACGTCTCGGCGCAGGGATTCCTGCTGGCACCGCCCTCTTTTTTTTTTTTTTTTTTTTTTTCGTAATCGAAAAGGAAAAGAAAAAAAAAGAAAAGACAATAAATCGTAATGCATGGGTTTTAAAAACACGCAAGCGCGCAACGACTCACTCATCCACATGTAGCCCCAGTTGCGATTGATGTCGCTTCCCATGCAGAAAAACGAGGTCCTCGACACCGTCTTGCGCCAAAGTCGGTTCTACAGGGCATAATGCAAAGTTCCCTCACCCGATTGAATAAAAACCGATCAATACCGATTATATCAACTCACTCTGGTGTGGGTGTAGACGTAGCCGTCGGGGTTGAAGTTGGGAAAGAGAAACCAGTCGTAGGCCTCAGCGAGGGCCCGCACCTCGGGGTCGTCGCTCGTGAGGAACTCGCCGATGAGGTAAGTGACGGTGGCCTATACACGCAGCAAACAATATTAATAAAAAATTAAATTTTGGGCGGGTGGGGGTGTATGGGCATTACGGGGCTGATCCATTCCCTGGCGTGGATCCCGCCTTCGACGAATACGGCCGGCTTGTCGGTGGGCCCGAAGCTGAGCTTGACGCCGCGGATCTGGCGGCCCTCGTACGTCTCGCCCGGAGAGAGGAGCTCGACTTTGCCGGGGTACCGTTGGGCCAGGGAGTCGAGCCACGAGTAGATCTCCTCGAGGCTGTGGTAGCGCGTCCAACCGAAGCCGGACTCGCGCGTCGGTGGGTTCTCGTTCTCGATGAGGCTCTGGACGTCGCCAATGTACGTCTCGTAGGGCGTGCCGGTGTCGTTCATTAGTCTCGCGAAATCGGCCATCTGGTCGGGCGAGACCATCAGGTCCACCGTTTGCTCCAATCGGCTGGGCGCCTTCCAGTACGAGAACTGCCCGCAGTTGTGCGTTTTTAGGTTTGCGAATCGCAATTTTTGGGAATTTCAACGCTACCTTTTTTCTTTTTAACGATAATTGAGGAAAAATGAAGCGTGCGATTTACTTGTTGCCTCGGACAGTTCATTAGGTGGAGTTGGGTAATTACCAATGACTCGCAATATTACATACAGGATGAATGTGGTCTATTTTTTTTGCCAAGTTGATATATACGTCCAATTATTATACATATACATCTATAGATTTATGATGAAATGCTTCTATCTGTACTGACAAAGTTTTCTCGCTTTAAATGGGTTCCAACAAAACGTAAAAATGTTACAATCCAATGAATAGTTGTTTGGGGGTAAAAAAAAACGACAATAAGCAATTTTACGCCTGTTGCGCGAGAAGAAATTTATACTTCCTATTTGCTACGATACGCGTACAATCTGGGACACTTTTTACTCTCCCGCCTTAGGTAACGTACTTTTTTCTTTGATGCATATATACTCGAGCCGTAAAGTGTTGAGTCGAGGAAGAAAGCTAGCCTTTGGTTTATAGACTGTTTTTTTACAGTTGATATAAGAAATTAGCGAAAAAATTACCTCTCACGTATTTAACTATAAAAAACGTTAATCATCCAACGAGAGAACAGAAAATTCACGCGAGCAATGGTAGATTTGAGTTTTGGAAGTAAAACAAGTTTCTCTGATCCAACCTGTTCGGGTCGCGATAACAAATGAAAAAAAAAAGGTAACAGACCACTGTATTTTTAATTCCACGCGTATAGAGAACCAGCCGGAATCCAAATCCTTTTCGTAAACAGCGAAGACCAATTTTTTTCTTTTTTTTTTTTTATCCACCATTGATTGCCACCGAGTTCCGGTTGTTGGCCCGAATGTGCGAGGGGCCATCCAAGTGGGTATTTTCCGAACCACATACAACGCGGACGTAAATCAAAGTGGATCCTCGGGATTTTAAGTCCTCGCGCAACTATAGAAAAAAAAAAAAAAAAAAAAAAAAAAAAAAAAAAAAAAAAAGTCCACTTACGCCCTCGCTCTGGTCGTCCAATCGTTTGAGCACTTCCAGCTGCCTAGCGTTTTTAGGAACTATCCGGAAGACTCGGTAGTTTTTGAAGGTTGCTTTTTCCGCGCCAGCCAGGGCCACCGCGATGGTGAGCAGCAAAACTATCAGCTTCATCGTATTGGCTGTTGGCCGATCGTTGAGTTACGAGATTTTTTTTTAAATGGTTAGTTTTAATTTTAAATTACCTGACGTGTCGCAAAGTTTCCGTCGGTCAACTGTTGTGATCATTTTGGAGAATACACACACACATTACATTAAACAGTTTGAGTAATTATATCGAAATTTTGTAAACCTATTTATCCTGAGGTTCAACGTCTTGCTTGTTTTTTTTTTCTTTCTTTCTCTGGTTATCGACAGGAGTGTACGCGCTCGTCGACATTCGTGACACGCGAACGGTCTAATCAACGCGCCGATATGCGTTACGCGCTTTGAATTTCTTTGTAATGATTATTTCAAACATTTCTTTCGCGTATGTATATATTTTTCAGAACAATCGTGTTACACGCTGTACCATCCCTTCGTTCAAAAAATTTTTTTTCTCGATTCTACAATCAACTGTTGGTGCGTTTTCCTACTGGAATTCATGCGTCTTTCAAAAGTAATTTATTATGTATTTATTGTATTTGTTTGGAAAATAAAATGAAAATCTTTATCTTCTCTTAACAGACTTTGGCACAATTATTTCATGAGCTTAAAAAATGTTTTTCTCCCGAATAAATTGGAATTTTCGTTTTTCTGAAAAAATGCTTTATTTATCTCTAAATATATTCACAACGCAACTGTGAGAGAAAAAAAAAATTGTTTGGCATGGATAGTGCATTACTTTCGTAGAAAAAAAAAAAAAAATGACTATACTTCAAAAAACTTGAAAAAGTACCCGTGTCCACGTCGTTTTTAATTATGTATAAAAAACTTTTAGAAATATGATACTTTGATTAAAAAAATATAATTTTATGATTGATGAATTACTCGAAGGCGTTGCAATGAATAAGTAATGATAAAAGCGTTACCCTTTCAAAATGGCAAGAAACAGCGTTGTGAGCGACGAAATTTCACGCGACTCGTATTTATTCGACGACACCCCCACCCATCGACACGCTTCGTTTGCTTTATCACGAGGACATGGGCGATAAGTAAGAAGAAAAAAAAAAAAAAAACAGCCAACAGATTGTACCGCAGACGTATAAGTACCTGTGACTTCGTAACGAATGGGCTATCGGACAATATTTTTGTCTCTCCAAAACTTCTGATTAGCGTTGCAATTGTATGGAGACCATCGATTTTCTAGTAAAGTACGTCAATACTGTGCAAACGAATGAGGAAAAAAAAAAATTTGAATTCATCCGTCAAAGATATTCGGATCAGGTGTATTGGACCATGGTAATGGATAATAACGATCAACTCGGGATAATCCTACGAAGGTACACAGTAACCCTAATGGGATTTTGGAAGTGCCGCTTCACAAGTTAAAAATATCTGCACACAAATGCAACCAACTATTATACGTTTGCTTATACATCATAATATATACCTATAATTATATTAGGTTCATATAAATTAAAGCTCTTGTTGTACAAAGATGTTAAACATACTTAATGTTGAGGATTTGTTGTAATTCGCCAGCACACGTACGTCATATTCTGTACACCTGCACCCTCTACGGCTTATAGATATTTTCCCGACGAAGCGGGGATTAAATATTATATGCCACTGAGCGCACATATACACACGTGTCTTATTACCTCAATTTAGTGGAGCAGCTTTCATCCACATGATGCTTTCTCATCTTTAGTTAAAATATGTGTTGGATACATGTGTGCAGTACATCAATACTACGTGCTGGTAAATGTTGCACCGTATATTGTGTTTGAATATAATATATTGTTTATCTTCTACGAATTCTTTGTATTATATTGTATGTAATTGCGGATCGGATGAAGGTTTACGTTTCTTTGATTTTCATCTTCATATTTTATGTAGACTGGAAGGCCTGCATGGTGATTTTTTTTTTTTTTTTTTTTTTTTTCAATTTTTTGTATAAAAAATAAATAAATGAATAAATCCCATTTTGATTGCACAATTTACTCAACTTGTTATTATTGACCTAAAAATATATTCTTCTCACCTTATCAGCCGTGCACCAGTGCATAACTCTGCCATCATCGTGGACTCAAAAAAAAAATCATGCTGGTACATTGGCCATGAGCTTGTAAACGACAATTAATAAATTAAACAATAACTGTCAAGATTGTGCCCCAGTTGACATTTAAATGGATGGATATCGAGAATTCATTGTTTTCGATTTAAACATTTTCTCGGCGCGAATGTTATTTTTATTAGCAGATGCATTGTGCGTGACAAAATTAAAAATCCCGTGTTCTAAAAATATGTTGTTAACTGTACGATTGGTTTGCCACTCCTTGTTCATGTAAATATAAATATGTACGTAGGGAAAAAAGATATGAAACAAAAAAATGTATGTATAAAAGGTATGGGATCTGATTACGTTAATCTAATGATTTAATAAAACTGCAGGATTTGCTTCTTCGAACATCGTTTTTATTGATTTTTATCAAACGTACAATCTCAATGATATTTTCGTTTATTTATTTTTATTATTATCATACATAAATAGGGTATCTTTAGGGCTACGATTGTTATTTTTTTAAAACAATGTACAGTTAAGAAGAAAATCAAGTTTCGCGCTGTCTTGATGCCGTGGACGCCAGTGCTATAGCTGTCTGCTGTGGATGTGTAAACAATAAACACGTATGTTTAATGACTAAGTATACTTCCACAAAGGAATTGATTGAAAATTGATTGAAATTAAAAAAGTTAATTATTTTAAATGAAAAAATATTAGTATAGGCGAAATATGATGAGCGAGAGTATAGTATTAGATATCTATATATACAACTAATGGTGATCGTGCAGCAGCGGTCAACGATATACTTACTTACGTCTTATATACCTTTATATGGTACGAAAAAACAAAACAAAACAAGATGTTTGCCAGAAGTGGGAGTCGCGTGTGGGTGATGATGCCTACACCCACTTAAGCCACATATCATCTGTCAAATTCTACTTATGAAATACAATTATAATAGGTACGTCTCATGGAAGACAGACAATATTATAGACTCTGTACAACGGTCTGTCATTTGTAGATGCTCCAAAGAAGGTATGTGGTAAATTGTATAGCGTTTGTTGTAGTTTTGAATTGTTACATAGTGATGGAACGAATCAATGATTATAGTGTTAGTATATAAGTATCAAGGGATCCCATTCTTGATGTATGGCTTAATTTAGTGCGTGACGTCATATTCAACATGTTGTACTCTCATTTTCTTAGCTATATTTAGATAATTTTCAAGACCCGTCTGTTGTAGGCAAGTATTCTGCTGCTACTGTAAAAATATATTACATTGAATCGAGTCTGACGGAGTTGTGAGATAGATTTCGCTCCTTATATTGTTTCCGTGGTTGTCTTTGAAACGTACAAGTGGTACGTACTGATAAAAGGAAACATGGAAGATATTTTTCAATGGTGCCGCGAGGGTAACGGCATGCAGATCCGTGTTTGGCTTGATGACACCGAGCATGACATGAACCAAGGGTTAGTATGTGCTTTATTATGTGCTCAAAGACTGATATGTAGTAACTTAGTTTTACGGTTACTTTTTCATCGACCAAGTGATTTCCACTTTCATTTATACATATATTGTAAATTAAATGGTTGCCTGTTGATAAATATTTTCAGAGATGATCATGGGTTCAGTCCTCTGCACTGGTGTTGCAAAGAAGGCCATACAAAGCTGACTGAGCTGCTTGTCAACAGAGGAGCTCGAGTGAATGCCACCAACAGGGGAGATGACACTCCTCTGCATTTGGCTGCTGCCCATGGCCATAAGGATATTGTGCTAATGGTATGTACATTTAATCAATGCTTTTTTATATTCAGGCTTGTATTTTTTTGTTAATTTATTTGGTTGCTCCTCCAGTTGCTCAGAAATAAAGCAGATGTGAACGTTACCAATGAACATGGTAATACAGCTCTCCATTATGCTTGCTTTTGGGGTTATCAAGATGTTGCAGAGGAATTGGTTGCTGCTGGAGCCTTGGTATCTATTGCCAATAAAGACAGTGACACGCCATTAGACAAGGCTAGAGGATCACTTGCCAAAAGATTACATGGTTTCTGATGAGCTTTGTGTTGATAAAAAATTGTGCCAATGAATATAAAGTACAACTAATATTTCATTATAGATCTTGCTGTGGAATTTGGGCAAGACTTGAAGAAAATTCAGTTTAAAGATCAAAGTTGGCTAGGTCTCAAAACTAGAAGCCGTAAGTTTTTGTCATTCTGAACTTAATATTTCAACTTAGACAAGAAATTCAATTTTCATACATAATGAAACAGGTGATGCCACTCTATCGAGACATAAAGGAATAAACATGTCGGATCTATCTCTACATACACAGTTAGCTGTTTCTCCAAGTGGCGAAACGTGGAGAGGTCGTTGGCAAAACAATGACATTGTTGTGAAGATTCTGAGCGTTCGTGAGTGTTCGGCACGAATATCCCGCGATTTCAACGAGGAATTCCCGAAACTTCGAATATTTTCCCATCCCAACATTCTGCCCGTCTTGGGATGCGTCAATCAGCCACCAAGGCTCGCTGTGGTTTCTCAATATATGGCGAGAGGCAGTCTTCACCGTCTGTTGCACGGTGGAACGGGAGTTGTTGTGGATACTGCGCGTGCTTTACGCTTAGCGCTCGATGTTGCAAGAGCTATGGCATTTTTGCATGGACTGGAGAGGCAAAATCGATGCAGGTTCCATTTAAACAGTAAACACGTTATGGTTAGTAAAATCAAGTAAGAATACGATGCTTATCGACATGTTGATATAGATAAATTGTTTGTGAAATACAGATCGATGAAGATTTAACGGCACGTGTAAATATGGCCGATTCAAAGTTTTCATTTCAAGAAGTGGGACGTGTATACGAACCAGCTTGGATGTCTCCAGAAGCTCTGAGCAAAAAAGCATCTGACATTAATCTAGAAGCAAGTGATATGTGGAGCTATGCTGTTTTGTTGTGGGAACTAGCTACTCGAGAAGTGCCGTTTGCTGACTTATCTCCAATGGAGTGTGGCATGAAGGTATCCTTAATGAAATCTCAATTTTTCAAGCATTTTAAATAAAAAATATGAACTTTATTTATTTATTTTTTTTTTTTAGATTGCTCTTGAAGGTCTACGGGTTAGTATTCCACCTGGTATTTCTCCACATCTTGCAAAACTCATTAGAATTTGTATGAATGAAGATCCAGGGAAGCGACCTTCTTTCAGTATGGTTGTACCGATTTTAGATAAAATGAAACGTTAAAACTGCCGCTGCTTGTTATAAAATGTGTTCAATTTTAATTTAAGAAAAGTCATATACCGAAAAATGAAACTTTTATAATCTCATTTTATCATCGCTTTATTAAGCAAAGTGCCTCAACACAATTTTTGATGATGTTTTTACAAGTTTTTAATCTAGAGTAGTCAATAATGTACAATACTTAAAAAAACTAAAATATTTTTACATGGACTCGATACTTTAAACTGATACATCGCTTTAATGTTATGTACATAAGTTTAAGAAATCAAAGTCTCTACCAATCTACATCTTGATTATTCAACCTTTTTGTACTTGAAAGTATAAAAATTTTTTAAGAGTAGAAACGTTTTTAAAGTAACAGAAATCTGCCAAATAGATTTTTAGATTTATATTAAAAAATTCCACCAATATGAGGTTTCAGTAATCAAGAATGATCTTTTTTCTGGCTCATTTGTCTCAAATCTATGTAAAAATTACTTTTTTTCACTACCGACTGTATCTACTTAAATGTTGCTCTAGATAAACAAATTATGTATAGTTTTATATTTATATATCCACATATTATACACGTCATATTGTATTTATATAAAATTTTTACTTGTATGTTAATACCATAAAAATATTTAATTTAAAATAAATAATTATTTACTGTCCATGACCGATAGTATATACTTAATTTCAAAAATCCCTAGAAATAAATTAAAAGTTAAGTCAATGTTATCCTACGAAATTTTTGACTACACTATAATGAATACGAATGTTTCTATCACAATTCATCATCGATCGTCAAAGTAAGGGTGCCTGTACATGGCTCCTTCACGAAAGTCCCTAAACAGAGATATATTATTTCTTGTAAATAAAAGTCTACTGATTTTAATGGTGGTCTAAATTATATTTCGAATGGGTCAAAATTTTGAGAAATCCGAGCTCAAAGTTGTAATTATTAGCACGTGTTCCTATGGGGCAGCGTGAAAAACAATTTGTTTTCGTTTATAATAAACCTAAATTAAATGTCCCAGCAGACTGAATATATACGTTTTGTAGATGAAGTCTTCTTCTGTAATATGCTGTATTAAAAATTATGGATAAAGGACCATTTTAGCGAGATATTTGTGATGGAAATAAATAAATAGTGTCCGGGAGGTCAGTAGCAGACGTACTTGTTCACGACATACATATACCATATACCTATATATTACATCGCTATACTACACCAACACAGGTGGTCTGGTCTGGTGGTGTACCCTCGTATGCACTAGACTGGTCAAAACAATAATTAATTTTTCGTACAAAGTTAAACTCGAGGTTAAACTACACACATAAATATCATTTTTCCCACTTCATACGTTATTAAAAATATCATAATGATTTTCAGACACATTTGTTTATTGAAAAACAAAACTTTATTTTTCGTTTGTCTTTGACCTCGGCAGTAGTCGTAGGAGCCCCCTGCGTCAGCGGTGAAAATTTATTGTTTCGTGTGTGCATGTCGATCTAGTTATTTTTCAAAAGCTATATGCTAGTAAAACGAAATTCATTGTATTATATTATGTACAAAAGTAAATTTTTTTTTTCTATTTATCGAAAGGGTCAGAAAAAGCGCCGATGATGGGATGGATGATGGAGAAATTCTAAATTGATCATCACATTTTTAGAAATTCTCAGTTAACAATTCAATGAAAACAAAATTATTGTATCACATATACGTTTTTTTTAGGAATACCTAAATGATGAACTTCCATATTACCTCGAATAATTTTAACATCTCGACATTTTCCATTTCAAAGATGAGTATAAAGGAAGCTTTCGAAAATTGATTACCGATCGTTTCAAAATTGTAAATAAATTCTTAGTGGCCATAGATCAGGTACATTATTGTTTCCACAACTTTTCAAATTTTCTATACATTTTGGAACAAACGATCAATATACATCTTCATTTTCGTATGCACCCAAAGACGTTTGAATTTCGATCGATATTCGAAGTAGATTTGTAATTTTAACTTTTCTCTGAAGAGACACTATGTTTCGCCCAGTTTACAAATCTCTTCAATGCTGGCTGCTTTACCACCAAATATCTTGGAAAAGTAGTAAGTAAATGTGTGCATGTGTAAGTATACGAAATAGCTCACGACTGGCCTACGTGACTAAAGTGGCGTTCGCAAAAGAAAGTTCGGAGAGATAAAAGTGCTTAGAAACCATCATATATCACTGACTCGCCTTGAGAAATCCAACTCGAATAATCCGTGCAGTATACCATATATGTATTATTTACCATCGGTGTGTATTTATAATAAAACGGTAATGAAAAAAAATTTAAAAAAAAAAAAAGTACTTTTGCAACTGGCAATAGGTACAGAATCCTAAGATGCCAATATTTTTTATTAACGTAGGAATTTAGGCTTGTGTTGTTACTAAGTATATATATATATATATATATATTAATTTACACAGCNCGAAAATATTGGAAAAATATCACATATTAATTAATGCTCATTTGCGCGTTATAATTTTTTAACTATGTACTTACAGGTAGATCTTGGGGATATGTGTTCCTGATCCATAATACTCTCAATTTTTTTTTTTCTACCACGCTTGTTCCAAACTCCCGTGATATAAAAAAAAAAAGACGCAAAGTATTTAAAAACAATAAAAGGTATTTAATATAAAATAGATTGGAAGTATCTGAAAAAATGTTGAGGAAAACCTATGATTAAAAGTATTTTGATTTTAAGTTTGAAAAAAGAACTTTGGTGTATGAAATATATGAATCACGTAGTACTTTTCGTCTTTGTCCCGCCAGAAGGTGGCGGTCAGGCGGTGGCACGGTGCCAATCAGCGCAAGACAACCAGTTCTCTAAAAGTAACGGGCTCTTGATTGGTGGGACCAACACCCAATGCAGAGGTACCGACGCAATAGCAAAGGTCGCACTTCGCTAACCTTTTTTCTATCATTGTATTTTGTTACTTCGGGTAGTTTTTAGAACCTACACAATAATTTATATATAAATAGGGTATTGATATGTTAACCTGCCATAAGCATGCGGACAGTTGTAACTTCATTTAGTGTTTAAATACATATACCTATCGGTACCTTCCATCAATTGTATACAGTTTACAGTACGTGATACAATATATTTTATAGTCTGGTATTAAGTATATAAGAGCGGAGGAGTGGAAAAGAAAAAGAGAAAGTCCACGCGGCGCATAACCACTGTATAGGTACGTACACGTGTATATAGGTATTGCTCATGATACTTATGAGTTTAGGTTCGGAGGCAGAGATTCAGCCGAAACAGTATATCTGTATATACAGCACAGCCAGAGATTATAGTAGCATCATAAGCCCTACAGCCTCTGTGCCCTGTGCAGATCGTGTACTAGTGTTGGATAGATACTTAGGTTAGTAAAATTTTATAATACAACGTGTCGGTCTCTACGGCGGTCCAGGTCTTCTAAAGAATCTAGGGATCCAGTTCAGACGAGCGAGCGCATCATATTCGGCTCACTCAGTATGCCTATACTCCAGATATAACTTCGTTGACTCCGAAAATGCTGAAACTGACATTTCTCAGGGTTCGTGGCAACAAATTCATACAATTTGTCGAAAAATGCGCTTCACCGCCGAGAAATCAGTAGTACGTGTGTTGTCCTTCAAACTTTGGATTGTTCATAAGTGTCCGTGCTAGCCGAGTGATTAATTAAATACACTTATCTTGTAAAAGAGTGCGTGCATGGTGTTGTGTTTTTTATAAATTGACGAGTATTTCCTCGCGTCCTGTTGTTACCGTCGCCTATCAAGAAAAGACAAAATAGCCTAACATCTAGGCACGCTACAAAAGAGCCTCGTTAAGTACAAGACGATTCTTTCAAGTTGCATCCTCCAGCACTTGGGCGATGCTTAGAGACTCACATATCAGGTACTCAGTACCTTACCTGCTTGTGTAGTGAACACTTTTCAGAGAAAAGCGGTGGTGGTGTATCCAAGTACTTGTATACTTGGGTATACCCAGAAGCAAAACTATTGAAACGAAACGAGTGTCAACTCTTGCATCTTGGTTAAAAGGTAAGATTGTACTTTATACATTGATTCTCACTTTTTGTTTTTCATTTCGCTCTATGTCAACATGGGGATGGAAAAGGGATTGTTGTATACTCTCTGCTCATGGGTACAGATTAGCAATGGACAAAAACAAAAATTTTAGTAAATAAGTATTCTTAAAAGAAGTAATGTAAGTTTGCGATAGTGTACTCGCACCATGTGGTTTATCTGTGTTGATATGGCCGCATATAGGTACATGGTAGATTGGTAGAAGGTAAAAGCAGAGAGTACCCTTCCACCATGGTTGCATATATATATATATATATATATATATATATAGGGGGTCATGGCACTCTCGTAGTGGTGGTGGTCGTAGGCCACTCGTGTGTAGCATCATCGCATGCATAAGGCAAGGGCAAGGAGAAGAGAGGGAAGCACATAATTCGATAGCAGCACTGTCGGCGTGTACAGTGTATGTGTGTATTGTATGTGCATGGTGCACATATATATGCTCTCTTCCCCTCCCCGTAGCCCGAGCGTCGACCATCTTGTTTGTGTATAATGCAGTGCATGCCTAGTACTAGTTATGCCCGACGCCAAAAGGTAACAACATAATGACCTGTGCATCAGAAGCTACATCAATTTTTCGGAGTTTCTTGTGTTGTGCGAAGGTTGAACTTTTGTTTACATATGCCGTACTAAGTTGAAGTATTTTGGAGCCCATTGTTGAGCGTCGTGACGTGTAATCGAGTGTTTGTGCGTGTGCATTTCCTGAATGAGCGTCAAAACAGAACGCCACTATTACATGTACCGATACCTATATGCTCTCTCCAAATCTGTAAAGAGTGATTTTGCACTACTTTTTACAACAAAACGTGTTATCGTTCTCATGTGCAAGATGCTCTTTGTTTTCTTTCACTTTACTTTTTGAGTGAAGTTTTGGGTTGACTAAAACTTTTTATCTGATTTCATTATGCAGTATTTTGACAGATTTAGATAGGTAGTTGATACGTAAACAAAAACCGTGTGCTTTATGAGTCTCAATCGTTTAATTCATTGCTGGAATCAAAAAGAGCTTTTAACAAATATTTGTGGCGTTAAAAAATTGTTTGTCAAATGAATGGATAAATAGTACGATGAAATAAAATAATTACTTTGTAAAATTCATAGACATTAATTGCGTGAATGAAATATCAGTGTACTTTGTATATTCCATCCAATACAGTGAAAATATATAGATCACTTGCATCTTACGGTTAATTCATAGTATTTGCTCAACATCTCACTCCGCTTAAAAATTCTTAGTAGTTATATTAAAAATTAAAAAGTATTGTTTTTCAATAACGATTAACTATTTTAATTTCAGAGTATATAGTTTATAACATAATTCGACAAAATGGCATGCAAGCCAACAAGTCCCATGAAAATCATGGTGTTTCGACCTACCATGGAAGAGTTTTTGGATATGTCGAAATATGTGAAATATATGGAGAGTCAAGGAGCCCACAAAGCTGGTGTTGCTAAAATTATTCCGCCAAAAGAATGGGTGCCTCGGAAACAGGGATATAAAATCGAAGACATGGATTTGATGATCCCCTCTCCTATAACTCAAATGGTAAATGGCAAACAAGGAATTTTTCAACAATTCAACATACAGCGTAAATCAATGAGCGTACAAGAATACGAAAAGCTTGCCAATTCCGAAAAGCATAAAACTCCCAAGCATTTTGACTACGAAGACTTGGAACGAAAATATTGGAAAAATATCACTTATGTGAATCCTGTATACGGAGCAGACGTGTCGGGCTCTTTAACAGACGATGATGTTAAAGAATGGAATATACAGAAACTTGGGACAATACTTGATTGCGTCGAAAAAACAATCGAGGGCGTAACCACGGCCTACCTGTACTTTGGGATGTGGAAGACAACATTCACCTGGCATACCGAAGACGAAGAATTATATTCTATAAACTATCTTCATTTTGGTTCACCCAAGACGTGGTATGCCATTCCTCCTGAACATGGGAGACGTTTTGAGCGCTTGGCAAGTGGTTTCTTTTCATCGGCATCTAAAAGCTGCGCAGCTTTCTTACGACACAAGATGTCACTAATTTCACCTCAAGTTTTAAAACAATACTCAATTCCATTTGATAAGGTATATACTTTGTAATCATTGATTGATAAACTTTACTTTTTTTCAACTTTAACATATCTAAGCAATAAAACATTTTTTTTAACAGATTACCCAAGAGGCAGGAGAAATTATGATTACTTTTCCGTATGGTTACCATGCGGGTTTTAATCATGGTTTCAACTGTGCAGAATCGACAAATTTTGCTACGGAACGGTGGATTGAGTATGGGAAGAGAGCTGTTCACTGCACTTGCAGTACCGACATGGTCAGAATTTCAATGGTACCATTTGTCAAACGATTTCAACCAGACAAGTACGATTAATATTCTATTAACTATCTTAATGTTTCATTACATCTTGCTTATTGCTAAAATTGTTTTATCCGCTTCTAGATATGAACTATGGATTTCTGGAAAGGACATTGGATATCATCCCGAAGATCATACTAAAAAACTAGCTGCTCCCCAACCTTGCAAAGAAGATCTTATTGCTGATGGTGGTATCAACGTCATACCGAAAAAAAATTCTAAAAGACATACTATTCATCAGAAGAAGAAGATTCATTCACTCAGTCAAATGTTACCAGAAAATGAAAAATTATCAGGTAAAATATAAATTCAGCGTTGTATAAGAAGTAATATTCAATACAATACACAATTTTTGCATGTTATACATGACCAATGTTTATTTTTACATTCAAACTTGTGAGTGATTATATTTCTTGCTCTCACAAAAATATAAATGCATTCTTACGTAAACATTGAAGTTAACTGATATAAATTATAAATTTAAATATTAATTTTATAATATGACTTTAGGTATCAATGAAGCCAAAGGTCTAGACAATGGCTTTAATCATGAAAAAATTAAAAAGAGAAAACGAAAATCACTCATTGATTCCAAGAAAAGTAAATTACCTAAGCTGAGTGATGTTGATGGTACTGAAACAGTTATAGTAAAAGAAAATTCGAAGAAAAGAGGTGTATTTAGTGACTTTACATCGATGAGTATACCAAAAGTATTACAAAAGTTGCATTTCTCTAAGGCACGTCTTAACCAGATAAGGAAAATAAGAAAAATAAAAACACACTTAAATCAATATAATGATGCAAAGTTGAAAGAAGAAGTAATGTTGCCCAAAGAGGAAGCTTTAACGGGAACACTTCCTTGGATGGCCCTGCCAGAGTTTAAAATTTCGGGAGGCCCAGCGAGAGATCCTCTCACGTCTGTATACGGGTATGGTATCAAAAAAAATTCATTATTGGAGTATCAGCAACCAATAAAAGATGATGTTAAAAATGAAGAATTACAAGACATTAACACCAAGGAGATTGATTTATCTGATTCTGCTGCACTTCGGCAATTTTTAAACAAAACTCCTAACGTCGATGATACAACAATACCACCTACAAATGTTCCTTTAGAAAGTGAAATAAGTTTTCCGCATCCCGAAGTAAAGACTGCTCCGTGTGAGAATGACGATGATAAAGTATTTTCTGCCAATGATTGGCAACAACATATTGATTTTAGGATTAAAAAAGAAACGAGTTTGATAAAAAAAATTAAAATACCTAAAATTAAGGCACACAAAATTTCAAAACCTATCAATAAAAAACCGACCGCTAAAAAAAATCTTATTAAACCTCCTGTTTTGAATTTTAATGTTCCGATATTACAAGAGGAACAAAAAAATACTCCAAATGAATCTCCAGTACAAATATCACACCAAGCGTGGCCTCTTGCGCCCAGCGACAAATCGCCAGTGAAAATAAACAGTATTTTCGGTTCAGATGTTAACCAGCGTCGGGAGTTGTCTGGATTTGGGCAGCAAAGCACTTTGTCACATCCATTTCAAAGTCAACATTCCGACATAAATTCAATAAATAACGATCAAGTGACTAAAAACTCTTGTCAAACGAGCAATCAAGCTCTTTACTTTTCAAATAGCGAAGATTGTACTTTTAGCCAGTTGAAAAATCCGATGGTGAATCCAACAGAAACAAACTGTAATCCAACTGCTGAAAATTGTATTTACAAGAGCGCAACTGTTGAATCTCAGTGTTTCCGAGATACGAATAGAGGATCACCTACGGGACTTATGGAAATCAATTCAGGAGTGCTCTTCGGAGAAGACATGTCATTCAACAAATTGCCGTTGACAAACGTAAACGAAGCCGAAACGTTATTTACAAATCACAAGCAAACAAATATATGTTTCTCAGATCCACAAAGTTTAAAAAAACACTTGAATGTACCCTTATTTCCGGGATCATCAGTGGAAGTTTTAAACTCTAGTCAATCAAAAATTACAACAGGAACACAAGTCGACTTGTTACCATCCCACTTAGTGTCGAATCACGAACTATCCATCACATTGATACCTAAAAATAAAAACACATCTGATATTAGTAAAAATACATTGAAACGCAAAAGGGTATCGAGAAAATCTGACGTGCCAAACAAATTCATTGACCCGTATGATACAGAGATTACTGTGATACCGAAAAAATCTCGTAAATCGAAAAAACACTCTATTTCGAAATTCGAACGAAGTCATGAAAATGCAATTGATAAATTCGACAATTTAGCTGTACCACATTTGGATTTCGGTATGTCAATGAATAAAGAATCAGCAGAAGACAGTCGAAAAAATTCTTCAGTAGATAATCGTGATGTGTTGAAAAGTAATCAGTTTACCGAAGATAACAATGTAGGAAATGTAAAGAACCATGTAGAAAAGCCGAAAAGCACTGAAAAGAAGACTAAAAGTAGTATTCCAATCATGGACGAGCATGTCAAGCCAATGTTATATCCGCATCCTACCGATCTCAACACATTGCAGTCATTTAATAATTATTGGAGTGCACACTTACCCCACTGTGCAATATGTGCTGGTTTTACGTTGAGCGAACATAAGGGTAGTAAACCAATGTCGCGAGATTGGCAACAATCGAAGCCCACTGTGTTACCTGAGAGCTCACCGATTTGGGTAAGTTTATTTACAAGAATATAAATTTGTAACAAGTAACTTGAGTTATAAAATACATTAGTTTTTGGATTATGCTCAACGTAATTTACAGGTTTCGACAGAACTGTTTGTTGCAAATTCTTTAGAACAGAAGACAGAGCCAGAAAACAATAAATTATTAAGATGTAGAAATTGCCAAGTCACAGTACATGCTTCTTGCTATGGAGTTACAGTATTACCTTCAGATGTACATAATTGGGCTTGTGATATTTGTCTATTTGGAAAACAATCTATTGTAAGTATTTGTTTTCTTTTCTTTTTTTTTCAAGCTTGTTTTAGTTTAATTATATTTCTTGTAACCAATCTAAACGTCCCGTATTATGACAGATGTGTTGTTTATGTCCGATGCGTGGTGGAGCTTTAAAAAGAACAAGTGACAGTCAGTGGGCGCACGTGCTTTGCGCGCTTCTCTTGGGTGCCAGGTTCAAGGATCCTGTCAAAAAAGAACCCATAAACGCATTATCCGTTAGTCGACCTGCCGTCGAATTCGAATGCTGCTACTGTAGACAGTGTAACGGAGCATCCCTCAAGTGCTCCAAGCAAAACTGCAACGCTCACTTTCATCTCACGTGCGGTCTCGCGAGCGGTGCGTCTCTTGTAACACCTGCCGACTCACAATCACAAATAAAGGTGCGTACTTGTCACTTCTATTGTTCAACAGTCCCAGAATGAAAGTCCCGTGCTCTCATTAACTACTTATCCCTATGAATTACAAGTATACTCCTTCAGTAATAGCCTTACAATATTTGGTTCAAGTTATTAAACGTATTTTATTATAACTCATTAACTATTATATCTCTTACGCAAGTGTTAAACTTGTGTACGAATCAAATGATGAATTTTAATGAATTTTTCTTAATGTTTGCTTTTATAATTATTCGAATTGCATTTTACAGTAATTATTTTATATTGTATTGTAGGTGCTTTGTAGCAGACACCGTGTTAAGGACAAAATTCCAATAAGGCAAGGAGAATTTGTTTATGCAAAACATAAAAACCTGAGGTACTATCAAGCAGAGGTAGTGTCAATATCAGACCAAATCTTCTTTGGAGTGAATTTCAAGGAAGGAACCTTGTGCGATGATTTGCCTCCAGAAGACGTTGTTGTGAGTTTGAAAAAAAAATTATCTAGATTGAATTTTTAACCAAGTCATTTATGGAAATTAAATATCTTATTTTATTACTTTTTCTTAACTAAAGAATTATAAAGCTGGAATGACGCTGACAAAAGGAACAGAAATAGAGGTGAATTGGAACAATAGTGGCATTTTCCCAGCAATTTTCGAAAGGATAAATCATGAAATCATGTACACTGTACGTACATTTCTGTAACCTTTCAATCTTTTAATTCATTTGTTTTCCGACAGTTAAAACAAACATTACTTGGTTTACAGATTTTATTCGAAGATGGTTCCAAACGTTCATTAAAACGGAATCACGTTTACAGTTTAGAAGATGAGTTACCAAAAAGAGTGCGATCGCGAATAGTAGGTTCAATATTTTTCACTTTTTACAATATACATATAAGCTTAATTTTTAATAAATCTTACATTTTCAGGAGAAAATTTCATTACAAGATAAAACCCCTGTTAAATAAATCGCGCAGCATAAACAATTTTTTTTTCCTAAATTTTTAACGATCTTTATTTTCTTTTCGTTTTCTAATTAACTAGTAAGATGTTTATTTATTTGTTTTTATTTATTTATTTATTTATATTTTAAGTTTTAGTTTTACGTTAAAAAATTATTATTTTTTGTGTTCTTTTAAAGTCAGCAGCCACGGAAATGCAGCATCGAGGGCATCTGTACGGAAATGAAAACGGTGATGAGATGCAAAGGAAAGTAAAACCACCGAAGAGATTATAAAATTACCAAAAGTTCGAGGCCATTTTGCGCTTTTTTAAAATCCTACATTAAAAGTCATTTTTTAATTTCTGTACAATTTATAGCTAGTTAAATTTCTATTTATAAGCCAGTCAAAGGCTTGTGTTAGTAAGATATCAGGTGACCCAACTAATGTGTTCACCATAGTTTTTGCTCGCATAGTAAAGTGGAATGTTCTTAATAAAGGCGGCTTGTAGGTTAATTTTTTATGAGAATCACGATGCTGCTGTCGGATTCTCAATTTAAGCCTGTTGAAAATTTTTTTCAACTTTTACGGTTTTATAATTGATCTGCGGCTTTTATTGCGACGAAGGTAAGATCATCCAGTTTTACCTGGAAACGATTTTTGGAAGATAAAAATAATATTTTTTATGATTTAACATTAAAATAACATCAAACTACGGTCGTACGAAGCCCTTCACTTGTCGTACATGGTATGGTACACTGTAATAATTAGTTGTTTGTCCCGGTATCAAAACAGTACAATAATTTAAAACTAAATACTATTCAATAAGTGATGGCTGATTATTGTAAGTGCATTTTTTATTACCTCATACAGTATCACTTGTTTATCGTTAAAGTTCATATGTATTAGAAAAAAACCATGCTTGAGACATTAGTCGGTTCACCCAATATAGTTAATTATAAGACACAATTGTACAAATGCAGAAAGTACTGTACCAGATTTTATGTTTAGTCAATTTAAGAAGTTGTATCGTTTATTTTTTATGAACGTTTCTATAACTTGAGTAAAACTTGTAAATTTATGGCGCAAAAGATAAAAACGATTGTGAAAAGTGATTTATGTTAATTGTATTTCTACTATCATCGTATAAAATAGTTGTATTTGTACGTAGACTATGAATTTAATGAGTTGATAATTTGAATGAATTTTTTTTATCAATAAGTTGATTGTTTGAATGTGCGTAAACCCTATTTCTTACAAGAATAATTAAATCTCGTGGGAGTGTGTGCAGAATATTATTAAATATAAACTGATAGCAAAATAAAGTCATTCTGCAAGTATGCAGATTTACTGTAGATACACGTCGAGCGCTGTGCACACACGTATATTTGTAACAAAGTACTTGGCTTGCTTGTATAGAGCACCATCGTTAATAAGTAAATATTAATACATATATATATATATATATATATATATATATATCCTATTTGCGCCCCCATGCACGCGGACATAACATACAAATGATACAACTTGTTATTTATTTTTCGAGAAACAGCGTAGATGCGATATACTTGCTCGTAGGTATATAATAATCATATACAGTTGTAGTTCGTTATGTATANATATATATATATGAATATATAAGTCCACAAACTATACTCATGATTTTTTTTATTTACCATCATTCCTTTCATTTTTATCTTATGAAAAAGTTAAGTTCCAAAAAAGATAGGAAGTTCCAAGAAGGCTCACAACGCCATGCAACTAAAAAATTGAAAAATAATTGTGTAACTCATGGTCCAATGTTTTTCAACGGAATATAATGAGCCCAACGTTGTGTCGGGCGCAACACTGATCACGCGAGAGTGTTGAAATAAGTAGGTATTTTCACGAGTCAAATGTTAAATTGTGGTCTCCTAATTACGATAAAACAATATTATAAGAAACTGAGAGTTAATTCACCTTATCATTTGAGTGAATTTTATAAAATGACAATACTGCAGCACTAGATTCAATTTAAAAAAAAAAGCATGTAATTAATAAAATTAATTTAAATCCGATGGATGTAAATATGCGTATTTCCATTGAATATAACGGTTTACAAGTGACTTTGTTTTACCCTTCTGTCGCATTGCAAATGGCAGAATCTCCTCACGCCAATCATCAAATTAGAGAATATTAAGGCAAAGATTCCTCAGGTGGCAAAGCGGCACTTGTTACAATGATGAATTTTCTAACATTATTGAGCCTAGAAAAATGGAAAAAAAATAAAGCATATCACCGCATCACGAGCTGTCGCTTTCTCTTTGATGCATGTATACTTATCTCTTACAGGTTTGATTTAATTGATAAATTAATAAGCTGCTTTTACTTCTTGAGCTCCTCGAACGTATCATATAGAGAAAGGCGTTCGCTAAACTCATCCGCACATCGCTGTCTGATTTAAACTTTTTTTTTTTTTCACGTTTTCATTTATTTTCCAACTAAAATACAAAATATCGTAGATCAAGCAAGGAAAAACATAAATTTTTTTGAAAAAAAAAAATGCAAGTAGGCCACACATCATCTATCACGTATCAGGGCTCAAATCCCACTACGGACGAAAATTAAGGATTTTTCTCTTGGTGGGAGTATTGCGATTCGTCAAGACTTACTGTACGGTGTCAAAGTTAGCCACCTTTGGGCCTTAGGGTGATAATAATTTTATATATTATTATACATAAAAAAGATAAATGGAATCTGGTGGTCTGAAAATATGAATAAAGAGAGAGTACTTTTCAACTTTGGACGTTCACAAAAATGAAACAGAAAACACTTTTATTGTGGAAAATAATTTATTCATTTGCTTGCTTTTTTTATTCATTTTTTTAATTTTTTTTTTTTTTTACAAACTGAAGAACAGCCGCAAAATTCTAGCGAGTACATCTATCATTTACTTTTTTTCCACACAATATTCAATACATCGGCAAACTGTCGTTTACAATTGAAATATTTTTTTTTTTTCTTCTAAATATAAACACATTCATAGATACGATGAAGCCGCGATAGCTTTTACAGTCAGCTAATTTGCCAATAAGTATGGCGTTGTACAAATCAATTAAATCAATTTCTCATCCACCACATCAAATCGATTGATCTTTGAAACAAAAAATTTGACACGCAATTCTTTTTATTTTTCACGTTTAATTTTTATGCACATCACTAACTTCACTACGCATCGTACTTAAACTTATATGTGTATTAGGTGTGTGTGTGT